TATGGATTACTTTTACAATGTCTTTATAAACACTTTGAAGCTTGCAATATTGGTTATGTGGACTTATCAATGGACAAAAATGATGAGAGAATATTCAAAATACTGTGTATCGAAGATGAACAAAAGTTTTATGGGTTTGGATCGACATGAGACTGAGTAAATGATTATAATCTTTCATTTCTGGTATGACATCAGCTGAACATGAAAGCTATCATGATGTGTAATATGTTTGATAAATATTAGCTAGTGTCACAGAATTGACATGCTTCATCTTCAGAGTAATCATGAAGGTGAAATCACTAATACTGAGAAGGCTACATAAGTTATTTAGGCCTCACCTCTCAATAAATAAGACAAGATTTTTGGCATATACACAACGAAGGTCAAGCTTGTGCTCCATTTCCATGTATGTTAAGACGTGCCGTAGCACATCGTCAAAGCGATTTGGTTTTCGTGGTAAACCTGAGTGGACTGGAGATTTCTCAAGGACTGACAGCAAGTCTAGAAGGCAGGGCAGCACAACCTGAAAATGACAGACAATAAGGTGAGATACATAATGAACACTAAACATTGAAGAGAGCATGATAGAGCACCTGAGCTCGGTTGAACTGCCTCAGATCAGCAGCTGACTAAGAAAGGAGAAGATCAAATGAACTCACATTTCAAATACACAAAACACTGGCTTATAATGTCCTCCAGGATTTGATGTCTTGCTTATGAATGTCAGGAGTACCATAAAAGTGACTCAAGACACAATGATCTTTGAGGGTCAAATGGACAGTTAAAGTCCACAATGTTCAAGATTTAAATACAAGTATATATATATCACACATTGCTCTCAGCTGCCATCAACTCATTTCATAGCACTTCAATGCATTCTGGGATTGCCCTTTGCATTTATATTAGCAGTGCATTTATGATGTATTATTGTGCTGATCTCTAGGCAGATTTACATTCTGTGACAGTTTTTTTTTTTTTTTTTTGCATACAAGTTGTAGTAGTAGTTTTTTTGTAGACAGCTGTGGTGGACAAAATATTTATAAAAGTGACTTACCACATTGAGAACAACGTGATGCAGGCAGTGCACACCCAGTACTTTGTTTTCTGTGTGATAATCATCAGATATCAGCAGAGATGGAGGAAACACCTTCTCCAAATACTCAGTTAACCAGGGGCGCCCAACCTGCACCAGCACCCAGGAGAACACATGCTTCACTGCCTGGTTATGCTTCCAGCTCTCCCTGAACAAAGGACAAGCTTAATTTTTTGAAATTGAGATTTATACATATAAATAAGCTTTCCATTGATGTATAGTTTGTTAGGATAGGACAATATTTGGCCGAGATACAACTATTTGACAATCTGGAATCTGAGGGTGCAAACTGAGAAAATCGCTTTAAAAGTTGTCCAAATGAAGTTCTTAGCAATGCATATTACTAATCAAAAATTAAGTTTTCATATATTTACGGTAGGAAATTTACAAAATATCTTCATGGAACATGATCTTTAATTAATGTCCTAATGATTTTTGGCATAAAAGAAAAATCTATCATTTTGACCCATACAATGTATGTTTGGCTATTGCTACAAATATACCTGTGCTACTTATGACTGGTTTTGTGGTCCAGGGTCACATATTTAATATCATCTTAAAAAGTGGCTTATGATGAATCAGTTGTGTAAAAAATTATATGTAGAAATTTTAAATAATGTGTTTGGGGTATTTGTGTTTTATGCTGTGTTGTATGTGTCCGAGTACCTGTTTTTGTGTGTACCTGCCTAGGGACTGCGAATGTAAATTAGCTGGCTTGTTTACATTTTGTATTTCATACTAATGTTCATTAACATGCATTGTCCCTATCAAATAAATAAACAAATCAAATATTATTATGTGCTCCTGGGTCATTTCTGTGTTGCAATTTAAGGAAGAAATAGCAGACTTTCAGAAAAGCACTCTCTTAATTATAATTTGATTATTTACACAAGACAATTAACAATTGTCTTTCAGAATTACAAACACAGTATTCACACTCTTTTAGACCAATGGATTTCCATTATTGTTATACAATGTTTCCAGTCATTTGTGATTACTGGATGAGGATTTTTTAAAATCCTTTTAACTCAGACCATTTTGCTAATGACAAATATTTTTGACTGATTTGTTGAGAAGGACCAACTCATTGGTTACTCAACGACCAAAGACTGTGCAAAAAAAAGAAAAGAAATGAGTCTTCTGCTTGCCATTTTTATTCTACACAAGATCATTCTCTAGCTGACGGAATATTTGTGAGATAACTAAAATATTTTACGTCCATCGCGGTGCTTTAAAACAACCGTGGACCGCAGAGAAATACAAAGATCGCAAGACAACAGTATTAACAGCGACTCCAGAGACCGCCGATTTCTATAGCACGGCCTTGACAGCTCTAGCCTGTGTTTAAGGAATCATTTCAATGATTCCGTTTTACTCTGTGTACTAAAAAACAGCGTATATGGGAATGATTTACCTATAAATACTGTACATACTTCTTATTTAAACAGGGCGCTGTGCAACCATAAAATATTTCCACAGAAACTTGACTTCTTATTATTATTATTTTTAGTTTACCGGCGGTTGGCATCCAGCTTATAGGCGCATAACCGCCCCCTTCTGCTCCGGAATGTGGATCAGCTAAAAGGTGAGAAGGTTGAAATAAAACTTTATCTGTTCCCTCTTTTCCCTGCCAACTCTTATACACCCACTCACATAGTCCCCACACATAAACCCGCACATCATACTCTAATTTCCCTTCAAATCCTGTTTAAAACTCCTGCTTCTCTAAAGATGTCACCAATATTCTACTCTGTGTCCTGTTTACTGTGCTCAGTAACCCTTTTAAAGTGATCTCGTGCACCCTAATCTCCCTCAGCTTATTCTGCATTGCCTGCCTCTGTGCTTCATATCACAAGTCATGATTATGTGCTGCACTGATTGGTCAGATCACCTGTCAATCAAACTCCCTGCGAGTCAGTTCAGAAATAACAGGGCTGCGTTCAGCCCCAACAAAACGGTGCAAAACGTGTTTTAAACGGAAACGGTGGTGCGCTGAACGCCCTGTTCTGATGAAGCAAGAGTTGCAGCTATGGCGGCTGAGAAGGCCATTCTTTGTGTTCTGTCTGAAGAATTTTCGGAGCCTGATGAAATCTGTATAAATACGAGTTTAATACTGCAAAATACGCTCGATGGTACAGTCACTGCCCTTGCCCTCCAGAATAAAAGAGAACATCCCAATCGAGTGAAGGGGTTTGTGGAAACTGTGGTTCCTAATTATTGGGATCCAAAATTACAGAAAACATATCTCAAACCCCGTTGCACACCGTTTCCAGGAAACATGTCGTTCAAACCGGAAACCGTAGCAAAACGTTGTGCAACGGTTTGAGCTTGAACTTGCCCCAGTTAACGCCGCGTGCCGCACTTTCACTCAGACATTCCAAATCAGCAGCATGATGATTGTCAGGTTTAATTAAATGCTTGTTCACAATAAGGCCACACAAGTGGGGTTAAATGAAACTGTTTGTGATAAGGCATCATTACAACATTATAGGTTCTGATCAAAATGAAATCAAAATGTATTTATTCCATTGTCCACATCGTCAAGTTAAATGAAATGGTGCGCTTATGTTTGCGATGTGATTTAAAAAAAAGTTAATAAAATGTTTGTTCATGAAAATTCTGTGAAAGTTTAATAAAATGTGGTTTAAATCAATTTTTTGTATGACATGTATTGTTTATTGATCTCTTTAAATAGATTTTTAACAATATAAGGTCTTTGTGTCATTTGGAGCGACCACTCATCATGTGGTGCGACCAATAAAAGCAATAGCTGTATTAAATTAAAAATAAAATATCTCATGTGGCTGAAATATGAATCACTGATACAGTAGCCTACGCTTAAGTGAATGGTATTTCTAAAACATTTTTATCAGTTTTATGCGATTTACAGGAAAAATAAGTCTGTTAACTACATTTAAGAAGGCAACTCTGAAATTATAGAACAAAAATATGACAAATTACAACAACTCAAAAGAAATGCAAATTGTTTCTAAACACTGAGAACTTGTAAAAAAAAATGTTAAGCAAATGAATTCTTTTTAATATAAATCACGGTCGCACCACATGACAATTTTTAAGGCTACGGTCAATTCATCTAGACAAAATGGTAAAAATCACTTAATTGAAATGTTTTATTTGAATTTATGTGTACACAACGTTCTTAATGTTTGAACAATTGCAATAGATATGATTTTTTAGTATTTTAAAATTGGCCTGTCGGAAATCCTTATCCATCATTGACCCATTTATTGTAATGGATGTTACAAAGTCCAAAGTACATTTGTTAAAAACAAAAAACTATATAATATTAATGAAATAAAAGGCCACATAAGTGTACTTCTAGAGAGTACACTATCACGACTCTTTCACACACGCAGAAAAGTGCACTTTACAATAATGACAAATTAAAAGTTTTACTTTTATATAAATTAAAAATGTGTATGTTTTAATAATCTTTTGTCTTGCTTTAAAGAAGTATTGACCATCATACTGAAGCACATGTAAAGTACTTGGTTATTATTTTAACTGTAATGTATTATTTGACATTATATTATAAATAAACTTAAATATATGGCATACAGGTTTCAATTAAACTGGTTATTAAGTTAAATTAGGTTTCAAATTAGTTATTGAACTTGAAGCTATATCAATTAAATCATCCATCACATGCCCTTCCCTTTGTCTGTAGAAACTAATCTTCTACCCTGGAAATCAAAATCATTACATTCAATAATATTTGATGCATATCAAAAGGAAATTAATGGTGTGTCACAGGAGGCACAAAAGAAGTTGGAATCCCACTCACAATGGATTTTTTCTTCAATACTGACCTTCACATGCACAAGTCCTACAGGGTTTGACACATCACAATGAAAACAATCAAATCGAGTTGACAAATTAGGCCTGTTTATTTCATTCAAACCCACTGACATGACAAGGGACAGGATAAACAACACTTTACAAGCATACAAGTACAAAAACATTACGTCACACTAACCACTTGTACACAAAAATGTGATCATAGTGAAGGATAGGGAAAGTTGCAATATTAATCATTTTAAAACGTTTGAATCAGGGCTGCTCGTAGGTCCTGATGATTTGTTGGCAAGTTCCTTTAAAAGTATATGTGCATCACTCTTCAGTGTCCTCCTCGCTTTCATCACTCAGAGGGAATTCTCTGTACCCGCGCTGTGTATTGTAGCTCTTCACATGCATTGGACACTCCTGATTTATTATAGCCTTGAGAAACAAGTGTCAGGCGTCATTACAAAGCAGTTGTAAACATACTACTGATAAAGACATGCATTCAGTCACATTGGTGTTTCTCACCAAATTCTCCTCCCGAACAGCAGGATTTTTGAGGAAGAAGCAAAGGGGTGCATACAGGATGTTGATAATGCCGATGATCACCATGAGATTGGGGAAGCCTATGGCTCTTACTATGGCCCCTCCAGTTGATGGACCTGCAGCAGGAACGCACCAAGAAGGAAGAGTCAGTTTGGCTCCTGCCTGGAGCTGTTAGGGTGAGCTAACACTAAGTTTTGACCAGAAAATAGATTTAAATTGTGACATTTTAAGACTAAATTGTACAAAACATGTCTAATAGTAAAAATGTATTCCAATACAACTGCAGTAAGAGCAATTACCAACAGCAAATCCCATGCAGAGTGCCACATCAGCAATAGCATACACACTTCCGTAGACAGACATATGCCGGATATCCACTAGGTAACCCATTATAGCCATCATAGATGAATCAACCATTCCTAAAAGCACAAGTAATTAAAGGAGAGTTGCATATGTCATACAGTGTACTGGAGTTATGCACCTTAAAGGCATGGTTCACTCCAAAATGAAAATTCTGTCTGTTTACTCTTTTGTTCTTCTGTGGAACACAACAGAAGATTTATTATTATTATTATTTAGATTTTGCTTATACAATGAAAGGCAAAAGGGTCTGGGAGAATGTTTTAAGAAACTCATACAGGTTTGGAAACAGCATGAGGGTGAGTAAATGATGAAAGAATTTTCATTTTGACGGGATCTTTCCTTTTAATATTGCATGATAAATAATTGAATTATATTCACCAATAGCAAATCCCAGTCCTCCATTGGGACCAATAAGCCCATAGATGTCTTTGGCAAAGGGAACCTACAACAAATTCACATAATGTTACAATCACCACAGTCCTTTATACTCTACTAATTAAAAGTTTGGGGCTGGTAAGGTTTATTACGTTTTTGAAAGAAGTTTCTAATGCTCACCAAGGCTGCAGTTATTTGATAAAAAATACAGTAAAAACAGCAATATTGTGAAATGTTATTACAATTTAAAAAGACTGTTTTTTATTTTAATATATTTTAAAATGTAATTTATTCCTGTGATCAAAGCTGAATTTTCAGCATCATTATTTCAGTGTCACATAATCCTTCAGAAATCATTCTAATATGATGATTTGATGCATTTGTCATTATCATTATAAAAATATATATATATATATTTTAAATATTTTTGCGAAAACCATGATTCATTGTCAGGATTCTTTTTTGAATAGAAAGTTCAAAAGAACCGCATTTATTTGAAATATAAATCTTTTGTAACGTTATAAGTGTCTTTACTGTCACTTTTGATCAATTTAATGCATCCTTGATAAATAAAATGATTAATTTCTCTAAAAAAAATAAACTTACAGATTTTGAACCGTATTGTATTTGTTTGGTACATAGTTCAAGCAAGCATGAGCCAAGTTGTAATTTGCAATGCAACATGATTTTAAGAGAGTTTGTGATACTCACACAGAGCAGACTGATGCCGATTATAAACATGCCGATCATGGAACACAACCACCTAAATCAGAGAAGCATTTCTAAATGATGCAGCTCTTGTCTCTGTAGACACAACTTTTGTGCTTTTCAATTCATTTATTTTGGGACATCCTAGAAAATGTATTACCTTCCCATTTTATTGGCAAGTATGCCAAACAGATTGGTCCCAATGAGGTACGAAACACTGGCTGGTAGGAAAGCCATACCTGCAATACCAGGGGCCATGATCAGCTCAGTCAACAGAACCATAGAAAAGATCACAGTCATAATGTTTAACAGGGTCTGAAGAACCATCAGGAACCTCTTAACGGGCTTCTTCCAACTCAATATCAGTTGACTGAAGTATACAGAAAAACCACAGATCTTCTCAAGAAGCCACATGTTTCATTTAGTCCTCCCTGAGGAGGCATCTAATGACAAAATGTTTCTGAATTCTTTTAAGTGCTAACTACTTTAACATTACATTTCTGTGAGAGAGGAAACAAACAGGAATGAAATAAAATTACTTAAATAAGCAGGAAGTGAATTTGTTTCAATCACATTTTAATGACTTGGAATAATAGAGTTCCTTACCAAGTTGCCATTTTGGCGAGCACATTGTTTGCATCATCCAGATGGGAAGAGTGGGCTCTAAAATAGCCACCCCCATGTTTGCAAAGCACAACGACCCTGTAATTATATACAGGAACCATAATCTTACTCCTCATTCACTCAGCACAGCTGCTCATCCGCTTCATTTACAAATCGTTTTAGCTGTTCACATCAAAACATTCGGCCGTGATTATATGGAGGCATACGTGTAATTACAGAAACAGCTACTACACCTCCACGACAACTTTTCAAACTGGTTTAACTGTGGGCAGTATTTGAGGATGTATTTGATTTGATTTGATTTACACACACACCTGCACTAATGAGTATGTAGGGATCCTTCAGCAGGGTGAGTAATGGTGTTCCTTCCACGCTCTGAACAGAAGACACATAACAATCACTCGGGCTCCTCATAGTAACACTAACGCAAGCTTTTCTTATCTTTTATTAACTTTCATAACTCGCATTTTATTAAATGAACACTACTCACCCCTGGAGATATTTTTGAGGGCTGAAGGATGCAGAGCTGGAGGGCTGGTGTTGAAATTGGGTATTGAAAACAGTTTGATGAATCACTGTAGTGAAATGTTACTCAATTAATTTAAAAGGGCAAATACTAATATCTTACCTCCATCAAACATAGCCAAGAAGGCAAGGACGAGGAAGGGAGAACTTTTACTAACAAACTCATACATAACGCTGCCGAATGGCGCTCCAACTGAAAAGAGTACATTTTGCAGTGTTAAAATAGTCATTTGTGGCACACATTTGGTTCATTTCATTTAGGTGTTGCTGGTCATTTCCAGTTGTTGATGTTACTTTACATTGTAGTACAATATAGTACAATATAGTACTATATTAACTTACTGAGCACTCCCATGGCAAGTCCTCCCAGTGCGATTCCCATGGCAATTCCTCTCTCATTGTCATCTGTGTACACGCTTGCTAACATTCCCAGACCTACAGAATTACACAGTCGTTTTTATCATATATACACCACAGCTAAAAAGTTTGGGGTCAGTAAGGTTTTTCGAGAGAAATTAATACTTTTATTAATCAAGGATGTATTTAATTAATCAAAAGTGACAGTAAAGACATTTATAATGTTCGAATAATTATTGGTCAAAGAATCCTGAAAAAGGTATTGCAGTTTGCACAAAAACAAAAGCAGCTCAACTGTTTTTAACATTGATAATAATCAGAAATGTTTCTTGAGCAGCAAGTCATCATGTCAGGATCATGTGACACTGAAGACTGGCGTAATGATGCAGGAAAATTAAGTTATGCATCACAGGAATAAATACAATTTTAAAGTATATTAAAATAGAAAACAGCTTAATTGTAATATTGAATTGTAGACTGTTTTTACTAACATTAAAAAATAATATCCCAAAATTGTAGTGTATATTATATACACATTTTTTCTCAAACTTACACATCCAATATTCGGTTCATTATGTCAAGCATGCTAAATCACACATATACCTGCCACAGAGGAAAATGATGATCCAATTCCCTGCAGTGAGCGGGCGAAAAACAGCAGCGCGTATGTCCCTGAGAAGGCAAACACTGCAGAGAAAGCATTCAAAGTCAGAGTCTACCTCATTTCATTTGTAGTTTCATTTCTAGCTAAAAAAGTGAAAGCATATAGAACACATCGACAAACAAAAATATATTGGAAAAACTCGTTGGCTCACAGTAGTGTCTTCAAACAACTTTATGAGCAATAATTCTCATCTTGTTGTTCCAACGTAGTTAATCCTACACAATAATGTTCATATTCAAAAGTCAACTTCTGTCAGGACCACTATCGTCAAAGATGATTGACAATTAGCATACAGTTTGGATTGGCGGTATGGTTCTGTTCTGGGCAAGAACTCCCTGCACATCTATGCAGCCTAGCATGGATGAGAGCAGGGAGAGCAGCAATAACCCCCCAGGGTAAACAGAACAGAACCAACATAAATGTATTGCATATATCGTTAAAGTCCAATAATGTTATGTTATGTACGCATTTTAGAATTAGTCTGATTCAAAGGAGAATCAGAAGGCTGAATCTTGACTGACAGAGGAGGAGTTGGGGATGGAGGAGGGTAATTAGCTATTGAGCAATGCGAAAACTGCTGATAATACTGAGGGACCTTATACAGGTGCATTTCAATAAATTAGAATTTATTCTCTATGGGGTTCAGGTCTGGTGAGTTTGCTGGCCAGTCAAGCACACCAACACCATGGTCATTTAACCAACTTTTGGTGCTTTTGGCAGTGTGAGCAGGTGCCAAATCCTGCTGGAAAATAAAATCAGCATCTTCAAAAAGCTGGTCAGCAGAAGGAAGCATGAAGTGCTCCAAAATTTCTTGGTAAACGGTTGCAGTGACGTTGGTTTTCAAAAAACACAATGGACCAACACCAGCAGATGACATTGCACCCCAAATCATCACAGACTGTGGACACTTAACACTCGACTTCAAGCAACTTGGGCTATGAGCTTCTCCACCCTTCCTCCAGACTCTAGGACCTTGGTTTCCAAATGAAATACAAAACTTGCTCTCATATGAAAAGAGGACTTTGGACCACTGGGCAACAGTCCATTTCTTCTTCTCCTTAGCCCAGGTAGGACGCCTCTGACGTTGTCTGTGGTTCAGGAGTGGCTTAACAAGAGGAATACGACAACTGTAGCCAAATTCCTTGACACGTTTGTGTGTGGTGGCTCTTGATGCCTTGACCCCAGCCTCAGTCCATTCCTTGTGAAGTTCCCTCAAATTCTTGAATCGATTTTGCTTGACAATCCTCATAAGCCTGCGGTTCTCTCGGTTGGTTGTGCATCTTTTGCTTCCACTCTTTTTCCTTGCACTCAACTTTCTGTTAACATGCTTGGATACAGCACTCTGTGAACAGCCAGCTTCTTTGGCAATGAATGTTTGTGGCTTACCCTCCTTGTGAAGGGTGTCAATGATTGTCTTCTGGACAACTGTCAGATCAGCAGTCTTCCCCATGATTGTGTAGCCTAGTGAACCAAACTGAGACCATTTTGAAGGCTCAGGAAACCTTTGCAGGTGTTTTGAGTTGATTAGCTGATTGGCATGTCACCATATTCAAATTTGTTGAGATAGTGAATTGGTGGGTTTTTGTTAAATGTGAGCCAAAATCATCACAATTAAAAGAACCAAAGACTTAAACTACTTCAGTCTGTGTGAATTGAATTTATTTAATACACGAGTTTCACAATTTGAGTTGAATTACTGAAATAAATGAACTTTTCCGCGACATTCTAATTTATTGAGATGCACCTGTATATGAATGCTTAGATTGGTGTCGTATTCCCATATAGATGGGGATCAGCTGAGAGTCAGCTGATGCAAGATTGACTAACGTGACCTGCCAGAACTAACGCTACGCTAGATATTTAATTATATTTTGTTAAGGTTTAGCATGATAAATACTGAGTCACCACTTGATTTTCAGTGTAAAATTTGGGTCCTCAAGCAAAAACATCTGAGAACCAACATCCTGTCCTCATTCAGAATCATGTCCTCAATTACTTCATCAAAAACACAGAATATTAATATGCATGATTATCATATTTTAACCAGCTAGCACTAGCATGCTAACTGAAGAGTACACAGTTTGACCATTTTTATCTTTGGTACAATATGTAGTTTAATATACTGTACATTAACACATTGTCATGAGTAAAGTTTCACCCAAAAATGAAAATTCTGCCATCATTTACTCACCTTCATGTTGTTCCAAACCTGTTTAAGTTTGTCTTCTTCTGCTGAATACAAAAGAAGATATTTTGAAGAATGTTGGTAACAAAACAGTTTATGGTCCCCATTGACTTCGATAGTTAAAAATACTATGGAAAAAAATATACTACGGAAGTCAGTGGGGACCAGAAAATGTTTGGTTACCTACATTCTTCAAATATTTTATGTTAAGCAGAATGAAATGCACAGAGTGAGTAAATGATGACAGAATTTTAATTTTTTGAGTGAACTAACTTGTTAACCCCTGTTCACAAAAAGATCAATAATATGCATTTAGAAAATGGACTGGATGAATTTCAATTTCATGCACACTTTAATAGTCATAATAAAATAGTTAAGATGACACACATCATAAATCAATTAATGGGATTTCTAATCATGCATTGAATAGAGTTCCCATTTAAAGATTTTTCAGACAGTGGGATAAATTTGGCTGAGCAATGATCCTGGCCCTGAGAACCACTGCACAACCAGCCACTATTTATGATTTAAACTGTATAATGTGACTTACTTATTGTGGAAACAAACATGATGACAAACCCAGCAAACATCGGTATGTGATATCCAATCCTATAAAAAAGGCACGCATCAGACAGCTGAATTAATTCATTCAATTCTCTATTTTCATTATGTATTAACTTGAGCATAATAACAGTCATTTTAGATGATCTGCTCAAAGTGTGTATGTACCTGTTAGTCAGCGGACCCACAAACGGGTTGACCATGAGCTGCACCAATGCTTTGGAGGCAAACAGCAGCCCTACCCTCACATTCTCCTCTTCCAAAAACTCACTGTCCTCTTTACACCCGTGTCGCTCAACAATACTGCTGTTGAGCCCTAAACTTCCATTAGCGCCGGAGGAGATGGTGAGATTAGCAGTGCTGATGGTGTAGGTGTTGTTGTCGTACAGGGAGAAGATGTAGGTGGGCTGAACCTCAGAGGGGGCGGCAGACGGGAGCTCTTGTGTCTGGTGCTCTATGGCATATAGGAAGGTTGGGATGATGGGAACTGAGGAGAATGAGAGGTGACATGAGGATGGGAAGAGTTAGAGCCGGTACCTGTGTGTGTGTGTGTGTCTGTGTGTGTGTGTGTGTGTTTGTGAATAACCCTTCCCCTCTGCCAGCTGCGAACTGCATGCGACAGAGGTCAGGACAGATGCAAGCAGGTAAATGTCATGGAAACTATGAGAGCAGAGTCACTTGTCCTGCATACACTCATCCTGCTGTACCTAGCCTCTTATGTTTTGATTTCTTTATTATGTTTTTGCCTATACAGAATAGACTAAAAAGGAAACCAATTATGCACATAGCCAAAAGTATGTGGATACCTTATTATAATCAACAAGTATGGCTAGATCAGCTATACCCATTACAAACAGGTACTTATACATACACTCGCCGGCCACTTTATTAGGTACAACTGCTCGTTAACGCAAATATCTAATTAGCTAATCAACTCAATGCACTTAGGCATTTAGACATGGTCAAGATGATTTGCTGAAGTTCAAACGAAAAAAGAAAGGTGATTTAAGTGACTTTAAACGTGGCATGGTTGTTGGTGCCAGACGGGCTGTATTTTAGAAACTATTTTCATGCACATCTACCTCTAGGGTTTACAGAGAATAGTCAGAAAAAGAGAAAATATCCAGCGAGCTGCAGTTCTGTGGGTGAAAATGCCTTGTTGATGCCAGAGGTCAGAGGAGAATGGCTAGACTGGTTCAGAGCTTATAGAAAGGCAACAGTAACTCAAATAATCACTCGTTAAAACTGAGGTTTGCAGAAGAAATCTTTGAACACACAAAATACGGGCTACAGAAGCAGAAGACACACTGGGTGCTACTCCTGTCAGCTGAGAACAGGAAACTGAGGCAACAATTCACACAGTCTCAATCAAAAGGAAGATCAGAAAAAGGGTTGCTGGGTCTGAAGAGTCTTGATTTCTGCTGTGACATTCGTAGTAGGGTCAGAATTTGGCATAAACGACATGAAAGCATGGATGCATCCTGCCTGGTATCAGCGGCTCAGGCTGCTGATGGTGGTGTAATGGTGTTGGGGACATTTTCTTGGCACACTTTGGGCCCCTTATTACCAACTGAGCATCGTTTAATCGTCACAGCCTAGCTGAGTATTGTTGCTGACCAAGTTCATCCCTTCATGACCACAGTGTGCCCATCTTGTGATGGTTACTTCCAGGAGGATAAGCTCAAATAATCTCAAACTGGTTTCTTGAACATACCAATGAGTAGACTAAACTCAAATGGCCTCCACGGTCACCAGAACTCAATCCAATAGAGCAGCTTTGGGATGTGGTGGAACGGGAGATTCGTATCATGGATGATCAGCCCAGCAACTGCGTGATGCTATCAGGTCAATATAGACCAGAATCTCTGAGCAATGTTTCCAGCACCTTGTTGAATCTATGGCACAAAGAATTAAGGCAGTTCTGAAGGCAAAAGTACTAGCCAGGTGAACCTAATAAAGTAGCCAGTGAGTGTATGTGGGCTACATTTATTGAGTCTAAATGGCAGCAAATCCTTGCATCCATGTTCCAACATCTAGTGAAAAAACATATTATTTGTTTAGCATAGCTGTTTACTTACCCACAACTGTTAGCAGCATGTTATCCAGCAGCAGGGCCACACACACAATGACAAGCACCAGACGAGGAGAGCCCCTGCTCTCGCTGATCCAGTCCATAGGGTTCAGCATAGCCATGATCCACCTCTGTCACTGGACACAGTCAGATTAACACAGAATGTATTTTCAAGTTTGTTAAGTCTTATAGACTCGGTTTTGATAATCTCATATTAATTGAGAGACAACATGGAGTATTTGTAGACCTAAATCTTAGACAATGTACTAATACATACGAATTTGATTCATATATTTATAATAGTAATGTAAAAATCTATTGTAATCTGCTTTAAATGTTTTTTTGTTTGTTTGTCTGTTTTTTCGATTCAAATTTGACACAGATGGAAAAATTTTTACATGGAGCAGTTACTATAGATTGCACTTATTGTTTAGATCATGAGTTGTTAGTTTGAGGTTTAGTTGTACACAATGTACACAAGCCTGGTACCAAGAGTATTAACAGTACTTATCTTTTCCTGGTCAAAAATGATCTGGTCAAAAATTTCCCAAAGAAAATGGAAGTCTATTCTAAGCGAACACGCATTACAAGGTTACATTACCTCTTGTTTTAAAACGTGTTTGAACTGGACTGCAAAATGTGCATATTAACTTCTGGAAGTACATCAAAAGTACAAAAAAAAATTATAGATATGGTGTTTTTCATATTTTGAGTCCATCCACACATTTGAAAAGGGCAGGTCAAGGGACGATAAGCATCTTGCAGCACCATGATTTATCTGAACCCAAAAATATATTATATGAATTAAAAAATGACATTATGATGACATTATAATAAAAAAAAGATGACTTGGATGTTCATATTTAATCAGAGGTGGCCTAAAAAGAGAACTTACTGATCTAATTGACATCCAACAATTATCCAGTAGGGACCCAAAATGTAGTCATTGTAACAGTTCTCAGGTCTCTATACAGTCTTCTGGGATGTGTAAAAGGCCTTGAGGACAGGTTTGTTCTAGATGAGCTCTTTGTTCCAGGGCAGGAATTACGTGCTCTGTGATTGAGTTTCAACAATATGATTACAGCTGCTCTAGGGCGCATGAGTGTTTCAGAACGCTCCTTTTATCTTTGTCAGTCAATGTCTTATCAATTTAGTTTGTGAAAATGGGCAGTATTTTGTGTTTTTGAATGGTCACGAATTTCTGTCTTGTGTACATAACTCAAAGGTAATGCGTTACATGCTTATGTCATGTTGCAATGAATGCTGATGCTAACATTGTATTAATTTACATTATTGTTAAAAAGGTTGGGGTCATTCTGATTTTTTTGTATATTTCATGTTATTTTAAGACATTTAATACGTTCAGCAAGGATGCATTCAATTGATCTAAAGTGACAGTAAAGACTTTTACATTGTTACAAAACATTTCCATTTCCAACACACGCTGTTCTTCTGAACTTTCTATTCATCAAAGAATCCTGAAAAAAAAATCCAAAAAATATTAAGCAACAAGACCAATAATAAGAAATGTTTCTTGAGCAGCAAATTAGAATGATTTCTGAAGGATCATGTGACTCTGAAGACTGGAGTAATGATGCTGAATTCAGCTTTGATCACGGGAATAAATTACATTTTTAATTCAAATAGAAAACATTTATTTAAAACTGTAATAATATTTCACAATATTACAGTTTTTACTGCATTTTTGATCAAGTAAATTTAGCACTGGCAAACACATGAACCTTTTGTTGATGACAGAATGAATTCAAGTTGTTGAATCTTGCTCTTCAGTTCCTGAACAATCTGATGCAAATTGTGTTAGTATTTCCACTCTGTTCCTGTCCCGTCATGTCATAAGCACATATAATATGAGCTGATCCACAAGTCAACACCTGTGTCAATATTGCATGTGTGCGACATGCTGGCAACGTTAGTTAACTCCCTATTCTCTTATCCAGCTATCACTTAACCTCCCCACCACCATTTAGTGTTCCCAAAATTCAAACACTTCTTAAATAGAGGATTTTCTGTGTGGTTTTAACTTTTACCCATTAAACTATTAGTATTTTGGAAACTACCAATCATGTTTTTTGAAACAAGGCTCTGTAATATTTAATAATGAGACAAGAAACTTCATCATAAAACACATTTGTCTGCCATCATAAAACAATATGTAGTCCTTAATCAGTTTCTCGATCGTGGCATTGGATGAAAGTGGTAAATGAATACAATTATTGCCTTATAAGTGTATTATATATATAGATGAAATGTCTTACGCGTTACTTTTAAAGTTTGTCTTACCTTAGGATGCATTCTCTTCTTCAGTGCACGAGTGTATGTCCAGTGCAGGTGTGCGTGATGCAGGGGTCACTTGTTGGATGGTGTACGTTGCTGGAGGGAGGGAGGTGTCTTTGTGCACCGCCGCCTGCATGTGATTTGTTGAGGGGTCTTTGGAGGAAATATACAGACATGCACACGTACTGCGTCATAGCGAGAGTAATTGTGTGCATCTGCTGCTCTTTATTGGGTAGGTGAATGACCTGCAGGCTTCTTTTCATCACAATGAGCCTTTATCTGGGATCTCTCATCCAGACTCAACACACACAAACAGCAGCCGCTGCTCAGTCAGCGACCTAATCGTTGCACTATGAAACCAATGATGATTGTTCATTATGTGCTACACTAAAGTTTTTGACAATAATATCAAAACTCTGTATATGAGAGCAGTAGAGTGACAGTGCATTTCTGTTATAGATGCATCGTAACCTGTGATCATTTGTGTGTGATCTTATGGTTCTTTTTTCAGCCTGTCAGTTTCATTTCCTGTGTAATGTTAATCCATTCAGCCTCTGAACATCTATGGAAAATGTTAAATGACTCATAGATTTCACTTTTGCCCTGTGCCATCTCTGGTCATTCAAATATCCCAGCACACACACACACACACATACACACACACAATAACCTCATACAGGTAAAACACTAAATATGATGAAATATGATTACTTGAAATAAAAATTACATTAACTGAAATAAAATATAAATGTATAAAAATATAAAAGTTGAATAAAAGTAAATAAACTAAAACACAAACTACATTAAGCACTTAAAAATAATAATACAAATGGCAAAAAACAACAACAACATAATTGCTAATACTTTAGAATGAAATGAAAATATAAATCTAAAATCTAATTAAAAATATTAGCAAAAATTATAATAGTACATCAATGATACTAAAATAGTACTGATATGAACATGGCTGTTTTTTGTAAATCAGCCTGAGGGTTTGAAGACTGGTGGCTAATCTTCCATCACCTGCCCTCTATTCAGCACAAACACACACACACACATTTAGACAGAAAGAATACACAACCAGTTCTGACGGGAATCATTTCATTTAATTAGAGGAAATTGTATTGTTGGTTAGCAACAATACTGTAGGAATATTGGTGACATTTCCTGAAAAGTAAAAAAAATTTAATAAAAAATAAGATAAAAGATAGACAGAAACTATGTAAAACAATCCAACATTTATTTTGTCAGATGAAATCTGTTTTAAAGGTTGAACCATGTAGAAAACAGTTGGCATTACATAAAATCAACTTTTAGGAAATTTAGTGTGAGCAACGTTTTATAATATTAAACAGCAAAAACTTCCAATGTCAAGTTTGGTGAAGAGGCTCAAATAAGCTGGCTACCCATAATCCCTTGCCATTGATTAATGTGTGTTTTTTGTAACGCTTTATGCGGACATGTACATATTTGTTATTCATAATTAATAATAGGGCTGCACGATAAATCGCATGCGATATTTAACGCGCATCTTATCAGTAAAGCCGGTTCTTTAATCAGCGGTAAATCTCCATCACCTGCGGGCTTTCACATTGAGCAGCATTAACTACACAGAGCCGTTGTTCACTGACGAGCTGCGCAAAACATATATTCATATTCGCAGCTCATCAGTGAACAACGGCTCTGTGTAGTTAATGCTGCTCAATGTGAAAGCATGCACGTGATGGAGATTTACCGCTGATTACAGAACCGGCTTTCTGACAAGATGCGCATTAAATATTGCATGCGATTTATCGTGCAGCCCTAATTAATAATATTTTGAATAGATTTTTTTTTAATGTGACATTTTGTTTCAAGTTATCATTTGGGTGATTAGTGTTCAGTTTGGTAAAGTAAAAACATGTAAATACTATACATTAATTTTGGTGCATTGAAGTATGCCTAACTGTATATGAGCTTTTAGATTTGCACAATTAACTGATAGTGATTTTATGCCAGTAATACATAATATTAATACTCAGCTTCATAATACGTTTGAGCTTATGTAACACCAACTTTAAAATGTCAAGTTGATGCAACAATTTTTTTAATTAGTTCCGTATATTTAAAAAAATTGTCTTTAAGCTGGTTGCCTTAATTTTGAGTTTTCTTAACTGATAGAAGCCTACAGATAGATAGATAGATAGCTAGATAGCTAGATAGATAGATAGATAGATAGATAGATAGATAGATAGATAGATAGATAGATAGGTTTATTGTTTTGCTGTTTGCTGACTGTATGTATGCTGCTGTTGTCTTTAGTTGCGGTTGTCAGTGTATTTGAGGTCCCTGTGCATCAATGATCCTATTGCACTTACTTTGCCTTTCCAAGTTCTACAAGATTTCAGAGATCACAGGTCATGCAAAGCTGTATGTACGAATTAGACTATGACATATTATTGCTAATTTGCTAACGACAGGAATGTTTAGGCTGAACAAGACATTTTTATTTAGTGGCTAAACATATTCACATTGGTCAAACAAAGTAGTGTCACTGTTATTATCTGCCTCCTAGCCCGGGGAGTAACGTGGTTTTGAGTTTCCCCCTCTAAGCCCGTGTTCAAGGTGCAGATAATCACCTGTTCCGTTCCAGGAAGCAACTTACATCCGAGTCTACTGATGCGGTTAACTGATGGCTGTCATTTAAAGGATGTCATATTTTTCATCATAACAAGTTTCAAAGGTGTTACATGTGTAAAGGGTCTATGTGGATTTATGCGCCATGAAAGATACAGCCATGCTTTCATTTTTGTTATGCGTATGGGCCATAATTTGCCTTAATTACCACCGCAATGCACTACACACTTCCTACATGAACTGAGACTATAAACATTGAAACACTCAGAAAGTAACCACTAATGAAAGACCCATTCTTTCTTTTTTCTTCTTTTTTCCCCCCATGTTTAATTTGGGTATTTGCCGTAGGTCCATTAAAACACGGAGCAGGTTGCTGTTCCACACTAGAGCTCGTCGTCTTGCTCTTGCACACAGCCTCATTGCAGTCAGGACAGTTTGGATACAACCATGCAGACAGTTTATGTTATTTTTTGTCTGTCTGTTGTTTCTGCTGTACAGTGCCTGGATTCCAACATTATCCGCTCCTCCAGAGAAATGACAAACTCTCAAGAGGTAAGAATATATATTCTTAAACCGTAACAATTTTTTGGCCTTCATATGTTTATGCTGGAACAATGCCACAAAGCTAATGAACACACAAGCCATTAGTATTATAACATTTATTATAATATTATAATCATTA